ACACACACACACACACACACACACACACACACACATATACATATATATATATATATATATATATATATATATATATACATAATTCTAGCTATTAGTACTAGCAATTAATATCTATCTATAAATAAAAATTCTGTGATTTCCGTTAGTCCGTCCGTCACACCCTCTAAAATAGCCATACATTGACAGATCACAGATCAAAACCAAATTTTGGAGAGAAGTGCAAACAGACAAAGTACAGTGTAGTACAATAAATTTTCATTAATTTTTTGGGAATAAATTAAAAGTTTATTCTTTAACAGGCAAAAAAATTTAATGATTAGAATAACCAATACTTATTTAATGAAAAATACTTAATATAAAATATTGTTTTTGTATATCTTTTCTTTAAGTTTTTATATACAAGAATCCAGTTTCCAATTCGCCCTGCGTCTGCTAGAAATATAAACAAATCACAAGGCCAAACGGTTCAAAAAGCTCCAGAGAGAAATATTTTTTTGTTGCAAGCTCAAGAGTAAGAAATCCTAAGAATTTATTCTTCGCTGTTTAAAAGGAAAAAAAAAAACGAAAAAAAGATATTTTCTTTAAAAAAAATATTGTTTACCATGATATCCTATGAAATTAAATTAAATTGAAGGAACTATTAAAGTGCGAATTAGGGTTTTTTCAAAGTATTTTTCTAACAAAATTATTCAAATTTAATCGATTGGTTTAAGAAATTGAACGAAACGCTAGCGATAACTTCAACACTACTAAATACTGTGGGGATTTTAACATGCGTCAGCGTCTTACACAAAATTCTATTATGCAAAATTTTAAAATTTAACGTATATCAAAGTGACCTGAATTCTGTCAATTAAATGCTCAATATTTGACGAGTGCAATAATTTTTGAGTTAGATATAAATACGTTTAATAAACAGCGAAGTCGACTCCGAGTTTTGTGGTTTTCGCAATCACTTATTAGGATTGCGAAATTCTTATCAAAAGACCTGATTGAGAAATATATCAACTTCGATAAGTACTGGGCATTATTTTATCTAATTATATATATATATTTATATATGTGTGTGTGTGTGTGTGTGTGTGTGCGTGTTTAGGCAGCAACTTCTTTTTTCCGCATGTCTGAATGAATAAATTACAGACAGTATATCTGCTAATTTTTAATAAAATCCGTTCATACTCACGAATAACCTTCCGTGTATTGATGTTAAAGGATGAGAGAAATGTGCTATAGCTGTTTAAATTTCTTTTATTTTAATTTCCCAAGTACTTTCGATCTTCTTCCAAGATCACAGATGATCTTGGAAGAAGGTTATTCGTGCGTATGAACGGATTTTATTAAATTAGCAGACATAATGTCTGCAATTTATTCAATCATATATATATATATATATATATATATATATATATATATAGGCGTTCTAGTCGTCTGAATATCACGAGAGCATGAGACTCGAGTAAAGACACGGACTGTTCTTTGATATGAATTGACGTTGTGAAGCGAGATGTTTCCGCTAATTTTATTTCTATAGAATTTTAGTGTTTCCGACCAGAATTTTTCTGAAGGGTTCTTGTAAATTGTGGGTAGATAGATGTTTTCTTTTTATAACACTTTGATCTGATAAGTGACAAGTGAGGCATCTACTCAAGGAGGTGGTAGTATGTCCGATAAAGGTAACTGATTTTTGACAAGAAACACAGTCTTGTACTTGACAATGAAATTGATACAAGACTGGGCAATATGGAGACTTTTTGTACTCTGTTATCCCACCAAATGTAAAAACGCAGGAAAAACTAAATAAAAAATTAATTAAATGTTCCTTATCTGTCATATTTGACAATATATATATATATATATATATATATATATATATATATATATATAATCATTATTGCGAGTTTGCTGAAGGACAATGGTCTTTTACAAATTGTTCGGTGACAACCGTGACTGTGCAGTTCTCTACTATGTCTTAACACCAAGCGTTTCTATTGCATTTTCCTACTCTTATCGTTTTCATTTTTTTCTTTTTACAATTTAACTACACTCAATACATATTCTCTCAGGCTGGTCACCATGCAAGTATTGAAAACCTAGTCAACCTTGCCATTTAACCCATAGATGGAGGAGAACAGTAACTAGTAACGACACGGACTGTCCTTTGATAGGAGTTGACGTTGTGAAGCGATTTCTTTCTCTGTCTAGGTGATCTGGACATTGAGGCTATGTTTGTCATCACTATATATATATATATATATATATATATATATATATATATGAAGAAAAATATATACGGAAAAAACAAACAAAAATCCTTATATACAATTATGCTGTTTTAATGTTAATATGTCAACGTCGGACGTTTCGGTCTAATAAACCATCTTCAGGACATATTCATAAATTATAACATTATCAATACAACATGCCAAAGATATGCATGGTATATATATATATGCGTGTGTGTGTCAGTGTGTAAATGTGAATGCAACAGGCCTGATTAGAACTCGGCTCATTTTCCGAAGGATTCTAGCAAGGCTTTCCGTAAATAGCTTATCTGGTACTTTATATATTTTCCTTGGCCTTTTACAAACTTTATTTTATGCGTGTCTTTATATAGCCGAATATTATTATAGATACATTGTCAATATCTTTTATAGTCCCTGATATGACAATAGACTACATCCAGAAACAAGGGAGATCGAGGGTTTTGAGGAGCATGACACACATCTTGATAACTTTTGTATCCAAGCCCACCCTGATCTGGGGTGGTAGCACCTGCTAGGGTCCCCCATCTATGGATAAATAGTGAACACCCAAAACAAAAACAATACACTATGAAATTTTGAAAATCCATTTCATAATAAAAATACCAACGATACATGTTTATAGCAAAATTACCGACAATTACAGCAAGATGTCCAACAATATATTTTATCTGTTATTGAAGATATACAATTGCATTCAGTTAGTTGAAGCTCTAACATTGTTTTTAAAATATTTAGATTTCTGCATTAAATAACTCATAGAGGTGTTGATATGCCGCTAAACAAAATCAATCATCCAATCATCTACCATGTATACCATTGTGAAAGCAGAATAACATATATCATATTTTTATTACTTCAAATCTTCCAAGAAAATAAATGTCAGCATTAAATAACCCATGAGGAGTTGATGAGCCGTTAAACAAATCAGTTTATCAATAGCTTCTATTTAGATTACGATAATAACCGAATCTCGTATCGAGGAAAAGACGGTCGCGAAATGCTTTTTCATTTTCGACCAGACATAGATAATTTTTTTTTCTTTTATAATCTGGTGTTTTTTTTTTCTAACAGTCTGAGATTATAGGTGGATTTTTTTTTTGTTTTGAAGAGGATTCAAAGATGAAGAAAGAGTCATATATTTTGAAACACGTAAGTCAAAAGTGTACGACTTAAACTTAAGTAATAGTTTGCCCAATTACAACACACACAAACACAGATACACACAAAAAGACACACACACACTCACTCACACACACACACACACACATATATATATATATAATTATTTATTTTAAAAAAAATGATAACATAAATATATTATAAAATCACTACAAAAATAGCCATTTTGTTTCAACACCCTCAGTGTCTTATCATATATATATATATATATATATATATATATATATATATATATATATATATATATATATATATATATATATATATATCTACATCTACATCTATACGTTGGTAAACTCTCGATGTAAAAAGCAAATTTAACACAAAAAATACAATTGCTTTAACCCAACATAGTATATATATATATATATTTTATATATATGTATGTATATATGTATGTATGTGTGTGTGTGCGTGTGTATTTATGTATGAATGTGTGCGTATCTAAATATAGATTGTTAGAAATAACTGTTCGATATTAAATGCTGACGAATGCAGCAGAAGTAGCAAAAAACTTTGTAATTTTCCCCCAAAATATGGTGATGGTTGTGTTTCCATACAGGAGCTAAATATAAAATAAAAATATACAGGCTATGTTTGTCATCACTATATAACGTGGAAGTCTTACCCTTCGTTCTTTTACATTCGTAAATATATATATATATATATATATATATATATATATATATATATATATATATATATATATATATATATGCGTGTGTATATTCTGTTAAAGAACCTAGTAACGTTGGCACCTGGGAAAAATTCTTTCGACATTTCTATGTCAGTCCTTGTTACGAGATGTGCTGCCGATAAACAAGAAATATTTAGAATGGGAAGTATTCGAGATTTCAAGCTGTAAAAAAGGTAGACATTTAAAAATATACAAAATAAATAAAAATATAAAAATTCTTATTATTGTAAAATTATTTTTCCCAGAAGTACAAATCTCATTAATATTAGCAAGTCTATTAATGTCACCTTTTTTCCAAAAGGCACCTAATAAGCAAATCAATATACAAATAGCATACGCATATAAGATTGTTATTTAGATGGTCGCTGTGAAGCTCAAGGTTTTATCGTGCTAGGGCCCAATTAACACAGGGTTAAAATTAATATGACCCTGCATAAAAAAAAAAAAATTCGCACCCTGATCTAGACTGCATTTTTAATGCAGAGCTAACGGAAGATGTCTGTCTGTTCCAGGAGGTCTCTTTGAAGAGTGTTGATGACTGCAAAGCAGCCTATGGCCTGAAATAGGAATTATTTTGATTGAATATTTTTTTAAATCAAAAAAAGTTGTTTCATGTTGATTAACCTGATTAGTGGCCAAGCGAAAGATCTCTTGAGCACATAAACAAGTCGTTATTGTTGTTTCTTTGAGAAAACCAGCAAAGCAAAAAAATGTCGGCGCTGTTCACTCGCATACTAACGGTTGCATCCAAAAGTGAAGACAAGACATAATTCAAATTGACAACGAACGAGAATGAAATGGCTTACTAAACCTTATTGTTTTGTTTGTTCCATAAAATAAGTTATTTCAATACAACTAACGTGAAAGAGAGAAAGAAATGTGTGTGTAAGAGAGAGAGAGAGAGAGAGAGAGAGAGAGAGAGGGGCGAGGGAGAGGAGAAAAGAAAGACTGTGCGTGAGTCTGTATCTCTGTGTGTGAGAGAGAGAGAGAAAGATAGAAAGGCAGAAAGGTCAATTACCTCATCTGATACGAGATTTATTTAAAATTTTACTTTTAAAATTTTAACTATTTTTTTTTAAAGAATTTGCACATAAAAAGCACTGAATATGCAATTGAAAAATCTGAGCAAGGTAACAGCTCTTGATGCAAACTATACAGCAAAGATACCAAAACAAGTTCGAAATTTAAGTTGTACGCTCCGACCTTCTTCAGGTGATATTATTTGGAATTTCAAACCGCACCCTTTATTTAGTCCATGGGGGTATAGATTGCTTTACCAAGAAGCCTGGTCTCAGTGGCGATGAGTTTCGCAGCTATTTGGCTGACTTTCCTCGTCTTTCGCCGACTGAAGCGTCTAGTTGTGTCTTGGAGTGTGTTTCGGGCCCGCACTCCGGCTGAAGAAGAATTGGTCAGAAGTACAGTCGGAGAGTCGGTCCGGACATGGATTCGAAGGAGACTGTCCTTAAAGGGTAGGGCTGAGGCTTGTGCAACTTATGTCTTGCCCCTCATCCTTTACCGCTTGGCTGTACGTCCTCTTTGCAGGACCCGTCGAGCGTTTGTTGACCAATCTTTTGTGGGATGATCGCAAACATTGGTCTGTAAAGAAGCCTGTTACCAGCGTCCATGCCATGGGGGACTGGGATTGCCACACCTGGCGAATCATCACCATGCCTCTAGGTTGTCTTTCCTACGCGGCGTTTTTGACGGAGGGCTCGATTTTGGCGCGGAGTGTTAGGGACGCCTTCCCGAGCCTTACTGTCACTCCTCCCATTCCTTGGGCTAAGCGCCGTCGCGGTAGTGGAAGGTTGTCGAGTTTCCTCAGCGAGTGTCGGTCGGCCTTGAATGTCATTTCTCGCTCCAGTGACCTTTCTCGAAGTCGGAGACTATTGTATCGTGAATTAGTGGAGGGTGTCATGAAGGATCCTCTGCGTGACCGGCTCGGCTTGTCGTCATCAGAGTTGCACTCCTTTCGGTCTTGGGCGCCAGCGGCGAATTATCTCAGCAACCCTGAGTTTTCACTTAGCTGGCGATTGATTCCGAATGTTCTACCTCTCAATGACGTAACCTTCAGATGGGGCGAAGCAGATTTGCCAGATTGTCACCGGTGTGACCTTGGCTTAGAGAAAACATCTTCGCACGCCTTCTACCATTGTCCTCAGATGCGCCATTTCTGGGATTATGTCGGCGAGTTGACTGCTCGTAACGCTCCCGATCAGCTCGTGTCCATTGATCTCGCATACCCGTGTGACAATGTGTCGCCCCTGTTTTCCGGGGTAAAACTGATGGTGTTTTCCACGTTGCTAGCCGTGGCGAGAATGGTGGTGTGGACGTCGCGAAAGGAGGGAATATTGCAGGATGAACAATATTCGCATCATGATCTGGTTCTTTTCTTTAAGCATCAGCTTAGGGTGAAAATCAGATCTGATCGAAAGTGTTTGATCCCGACAGATTTCAGCGAAAGGTGGGTGATTGTGTCGAGCTTGGTTCGTGACGACGGGACTAGCCTTGGTTTTCTTTTTGTAAGTCCCCTTAATGCAACGAGGCGGTTTCCTGTGGACCTTCACCTGGTTAAGTTAGGCACGATTTTGTTTCCTAGTTAATGCGAATAAGTGTTGTTCTCTGCCTGTTTCCAGCATTGTCCTGTTATGATCCATGTCGAGATTCTCAATTTCCCCAGTTTATTTTTGTCCCCTGTTTTAATCTCGGCTGGGCCAGCCTTTGTTTTTCCCCATTCCGTTATTTTTTCTCCTCCCTCCCCATTCCATTAGTGAGTGTGCTTCTTGATTCTATCTATAGGCAGAATACAGCAGCCACTCTTATTATTTCGAGGGGTGGGTGAATCCTACTAACATTTGTTTTTGTTTTTTTTTAGTTTTATTTGTTTTACATTTTTAGTTTGTTTCTAGGTTCATGCCTCCCAATCATTTCATGTATCATGAAATTTTTATATATTTTTGAATTTTACGGCTTTCAGAATTTTTATGTCATTGGGGTGTTTTGTAGGTCTCCCGCGAATATGTGGTATTTTGGTGTATGTAGGATTGAGAGTTGATGGAGAAGTTCTTGTGGGGAATGAGTAAATTGTAAGGAATGAATGGGTCGTGATTCGCATTAACTAGGACTAAGATAGCTAAAGATGACCGACCTCTCCCCCCCTTTATTTCAGCCATGTACCAAAATATATTGACTCATTTTCCATCCTTAGTCATGCTCATTCTGTATTACACCTAAAGGTAAACGATCTGTCAGGTCAGGTCCTAACAGGCATTCCCTCTGTAAACAGAGGGAATGCCTGTTAGGGCTTGACATGATTTCATCTGATCTTTCCACCCTTAATTTATCACATGCTTCTCATGTTTTTATATGTTATATTATTTAGTTTTCCCTCGATTTCAGCTCTGTTGAGTGAGGACGAAACCGGTCGGCTGATCAAGTTTGTTTCCTCTTTTCCTTTTAATCATGAATGGTAAAGCACGTCTTGCCATTTTTATTTCCATAATAAAAATTTGCACCCTCAAGAAAAAAATGATATATATATATATACAGAGAGAGAGAGAGTGAGAGAGAGAGAGAGAAAGGGAGAGAGAGAGAGAGAGAGAGAGAGAGAGAGAGATAAAGACAAAAATGAGGATTGGAAAAAAAGCCACCTAATATTTACTAAAGTGTTCTTTATTTAAAATATATGAATTTTTACAGAGAAGTATTAAACTTTGTTACTTACAATTAGATATTTATTATTTTCTCTTAGAAAAATAATTTGTTGTTTTCCTTTTTTTCAAAACATTTTCACTTTCACCGGTTTCGCTTAGCTTTTCAAAAAGTGTTTAATTGTTTCTACCTCCACGTCTTGATGCTTATGTTTTGTACGAATAAAAAATGAAACTGAAGAGGCGTAACTGATTGCGTGAATAGAACCGCACCAAACCGCAAGAAGCAATTTTCTTGGTAAGTTCAAAACCATACTTAATTCACGGCATAAATAAATTCTACCAAATTACCCTTACCATAAACGACATATATGGTATTTATCAATCCACCCACGGGGATTGAATGCGGCACAAGGCCTTTTTAATGTGGGTATCTCTGGAGCCCGTAGGCCCAGCCAAAAATAAATAACCATCCAAACCCGCCGAGGCGGGCCAGTTCTGTCAACCTCCCCCAACGAAACCCCACCCTTCGGCGGAGCTTCGTCCGGGTTCCTCTCTGCAAAGAGAGTTCGACAGACACCCGACCTGGCAGCTCACAAAAGCGCAGATACTACACTTTGATCCTAGCCACCGGGCCGAAAACGACATATATAGCCACACACACGCGGGTGCGAGCGCGCACACACACACACACACACACACACACACACACACATATATATATATATATATATATATATATATATATATATATATATATACACTTTTCTCTTTTTGGAACTACTATAACCTCTTTCCTTTATATATATATATAAAATTTCATATGTAGACATGTATGTATAGTGATGTTAACGATAAAGATTTTAAATTCATAATTAGCGTTTATTTCGAAGATTATAAATGAGATCTGATAATAATTTCATTAGGTTAATTGAACATTTGTCCTGACAAGCGATTTGACCCGAAACTCTGGAGTCAGTTAATAAGTCTATCGAACTGAATTATTATTGAATAATTCACTGTTTTTTTTTTTTATAAAAATGATCCGATTTCTGTTTGTGTGTTTGTTTATTAGCGTAACTCCAAAAAATGTAACAGTTTTTGGTTAATGCTTTTAAAATACTCTAACTTGAAGAATAAAGTGATTTCCAGTTCAAATTGTTACTTAATAATAAAAGGACGATGTCTTCATTCACACTCGATTATAAAGATCAAATGTTCATTTGTTGCAATTTGTAATGTAAATTATATCGCCACTAAAAAAAAGAAAATAAAGGAAAATTAAAGCATATATGGTCATAAAACATTCAACGCTAAGTTCCTGCTGATTTGGGATTAGCAGAAATTCAAGTAAAGCTAACTTGAAATTTTAAATGTAGTTGGATTTTGATTAATTACAAAGTTCTCACCTTTATTTATGTTATATGATATAAAACTGTAAATAGAAGTTACATCATTCGAGCTTAATGTTTGCTTTCAGTGGCCTTTAGGATAGTTCAATCATAAAAGAACGATTCCAATATGGCACGCGGAATTCTTCTTGGGAATCTGGAAATTATTATAAGTGCCGATTAGTATTTCATTGAGCGAAACAGGAACACTGAATGGTTTATGGAAGAATTTGCCATATCTGTTTCACAATCATTTCATACATCGTATTGGCAGTTTAAGGACAGGGATTATCATGCAAAATAGTCGACGATTTATTTAAATCGAAGTTCAAGTAAGCCGGGTGCTCATTGTCCTGTGTTTCAACAATTTGTAATGGAAATTGCCTTTAAACTCCACCAAATGTTATAAAGAAATATCCCACGATAAGTTCTGTTTACATTCCGTCCTGGGTAAGACGATAAACTACGTCCAGCAGCAAGGCCTCTGACCAGGAGGTTTTACGGAGCGTGGAACCACCTCTTAATTGCTGGTGTTCCCAGGTCCACTCGGACCCAAGGTGGCAGCACCGATTAGGGTCCCAGCTATGGGCAAATAGGTAACTCCGAAATTGGGGTGAAAACACTATGAAAGTGTAAAAATAGGTTTTAATAACAGAAATACTTTGTAAAAAAAAATTACTTCCAGCAATAAATTTTTGAAGGAAAAAAAAAAAAAATTTAAAGGAAGAATGTTACCAGCGATACATTTTTGAGGAAAACATATTACCAGCAATAGATTTTTGAAATAAAAATATTACCAGAAATAGATTTTTGACAAAATAAAATATTTCCAGCAATGAAAATTTTTTGGCATTAAATAACCCATTGAGGTTGATATACCGTAAACCAAACCAAACCAAACCAAACCAAAACAACAACAAATTTTTGAAGAAAACAAAAAAACAAAAAACAAAACAAAACATTATTACCACAAATAGATTTTTGACAAAACAAAATATTACCAGCAATGAAAATTTTGTCGGCATTAAATAACCCATTGAGGTTGATATACCGGAAACCAAACCAAACCAAACCAAACCAAACCAAACCAAACCAACAACAAATTTTTGAAAAAAACAAAAAAAAAAACAAAAAACAAAAAAACAAAACAAAACATTATTACCACAAATAGAATTTTGACAAAACAAAATATTACCAGCAATGAAAATGTTGTCGTAAACCAAACCAAACCAAACCAAACCAAACCAAACCAACAACAATTTTTTGAAAAAACAAAAAAAACAAAACAAAAAAAAAAAACAAAACAAAACATTATTACCACAAATAGAATTTTGACAAAACAAAATATTACCAAATTTTTGTCGGCATTAAATAACCAATTGAGGTTGATATAACTTAAAACAAACCAAACCAAACTAAAACAAACCAAACTAAACCAAACCAAACCAAACCAAACCAGCAACAAATTTTGAAAAAAAAAACAAAACAAAACAAAACATTATTACCAGAAATAGATTTTTGACAAAACAAAATATTACCAGCAATAAAAATTTTGTCGGCATTAAATAACCCATTGAGGTTGATATGCCGTAAAATAAACCAAACCAAACCAAACAATTCTGTTTACATTAATCCTTTAAGCCCTGCGTTCATGAACAAATATTAACCCTTCTGCCTGGGCTCCTGAGTCAAAATTTTCAAATAATTGGTATGTAATGTTTCACGGTAGATATAAAAATAGTTATAAGTATTTACCCACCATCCAACCTGTAGCAGGACATTAAGTCATTTTCCTGTTTAACTGGTTGCTGGGCATTACGTCATTTTTTTCCGGTAAGGCGGTGGTCAGGGTTCAAAGGCTTAAGACGTTGAATCTCGCCTTGATATTCAATATCCTGCATTTTTGTAACGAATCAATTTTTCATCGCCAGTGACTATCACATAAAAAAAAAATAAATCTCCCGTGTTGAGCAAGATCAACATCATCACCATGATCATCTGTCCCATAACCAGATGTGGTCCTAGGGTCGCTACGCTGCATTGATGTGTACTTAAATAGTTCCCGTCATATATATTCTTGAAGTAAAATATTATTTGGACTTGAAGATGTCTTTCTTTTCCTTTTTTTTTTTTTACTTTAAATGGTGTAAGATGAAAAGCAAAACTTAGGCCAACAAAAATATCACCTGCAGAAGAATATATAAAAAAGAACGCACACACATACGAACACCCACTCACGGGAGAGGGATAAGAGAGAGAGAGAGAGAGAGAGAGAGAGAGAGAGAGAGAGGGGAAGGAAAAAGTGAAAACTTAACCGGTGAAAATATTCGAGCCCCGGGCTAAGCGCTTTCATTCGGTAATCTTATCGTCGGATATGTCAATCATTACGATACACGCGTTTTATTTATTTGTCATTGAACTGGAGAAGACTGACGTCGTAATGCCGGAAGTCGCCTTGATGTATCATAAGACGGTTCTCGGTGAATTTGAAAACTTAAATCCCAAATATCCGCTGATTAGAGTATTTTTTAATGTTTGACGATAGTTTTCCTGTTGAGGAGTGCTCCCCATCCTCCCTTAGAAAACAGCAAACTTCGCTTGTCTCGCAATGTTTTTTTCTAATTCGTAAGATTTGATATGCTTTCGTTACGAGACGCGTAGGAATAGCCAGAGAATTGCAGCAGGAGTGGGTTTATCGAAGAAAAGATAACCTGGCGTTATCTTTCCCTCTTGTTTTTGAATTTGGAGTTTTGCTTCTTTTAGAGTGATTGCCATACAAAACGATAGATCCCAATTAGACATATTTAACCTATTTAACTGGGCACCTCGACGTGGTGTAATGGTTAGAAAGCTTGTCATGCTAGATCAATTACGACTGAGTAGTGAGTTCGATCTCACTGGGTACCCCATACTTTCGGCCTTGTGCCACATCTAAGCCGGGCTTAGAAAATCGCTATTTAACCTATGACTGGTGGAGGTAGCAGAAGAGACAGTTTCGTATCGTCCCCAAAGAGTATCTTTGTGAAATGGAACGTGACAATCTCGACAGGAATTCGAACTCGTCTCATCGATTTCTCTTCATGAGTCGCTAACCGTTACCTGCACATTCGCGAGATGCGTTAGGCATTTGAGAGGAAATCCATAAAGGAACCAATGTCGTTCAGTCACCACCCCTGTCAAGGTTGAAATCAACAGATAGTTAAGAAACAAGGAATGATGATATGAATTTAACAGTGGGTGTAGCGTTTGATGAAATATGTATAACACAGAGATGTGTGACATGTTAAAAGTACAAATAAATATTGGACAGTGTATTTGCTGCGACTCTAATGTGCGTGTGTGTATGTGCGTGTGTGTGTGTAAAGGAGAACATCCATTTTGCATAATGTTTATTCAAAAGCTGCCGATCAGACCCCGAACTACCACCATTCACGATGAACGGATTCCCCCCTCAAGGAGGCACCGTGCCTTGACGGGATATTGCGTCTCAAACTCACACCCGACCTCAAGTAGAACTCTTATATACGATCTATCACTAAAGATGCAGATAAAGTAATCAGCTCTCTGTACCGCTCCAGTAAGAACCTGACTCCTCTACATTTACAGGAGTCAGATCAGGCCGAAAATAGCCTGCTGTTGCCATATTTGGGCTAGAGCAGCCCAGTCCTCACTTTCCAGAGTTTAAAAGTGTCTCCGAGTCCTTGTTGTAGATTTTCCCACCCTCTAACCTCTCACTCACAAGGTACTTCCATGGAGAGTGCTCAAGCGAGCTACATTCCTTGGTTCTGCCAGGTCTAACCTTTACGGCTAGGACCCGCCCTGCCGCTTACATAGCAGCAAACCATCCACATTACATCCGTATTCCATAGGCGAGAATAAGTTCCAGTCAAACAGCTTCTTCCCGCTAATCCTATGGAACAGACTCCCAAGAGGATGTTTCCCTAAACACTACAATCTTAACCAGTTCAAGTCTAGAATTAACAATTATCTTCTCCTCCTATCCATATAACATAACGAAAAGTGAAAGAAAAAGTATCTATGGAAGCAAAACCTCGACAAAAAAATTCAGCATTAAACGATACACGGAAATATCAAGTGAATTAGAAAGAATTTCAAGGAGGGAATCTTGTCTTCCATAAATTCTTAGCGGAGAATCGTACGTTCAACTATTTGCATGAGTCTACAGTCCTGGAATAAGAAGTGCTGTTTTTTTTACCTGAATATTGCAGATGTGAAACAGACACTGCATGTTAAGCAGAAATGTCAAAAGTAATGGCGATCAGCCTCGGTCTAATCAACCTCAACACCACAACTAAATTTTCATTCATAGAAAGCTATACTAACAGAAACGAGCCGATTTTTGAGGAAGACGATAATTCATAATGACAAGGCTTCATGAAGGAAAGCAAACTGAGAAGAAGAAAATAAAGTAATTAGAACTAAGGAGTTCTTTAAGTTTTGATTTCCTCACGATTGTCGACTTGTTAGGGAGCTAACTTCCTGTTGCTATCGGCTTGCGAATGCGATTCCAGGGTGTGGCACCATTGGAAAGAGCCTGAAAACTATACCAAGAGTTGATCCAAGACTTGTGATTGAAATTGGGTAGATGAAACTGATCAGAAGCTGCCGATGGTTGGGCTAGCGCAAAGTCCCAAGACATTATGACAGAGGATGTGAGCGTACAAACCTTGTTAAAACTGGTGATCACGTCAGGTTATGCGCTCTCTCCCAGAGATCGTAACTAAGGTTTGCTCAGCATAGTTAAAGTACAGGTTAACTCGATGGGTGTTGAAGAAAAACATGTGCCTGAGCTGGCGTCTGCAAAATGGATTGGCTATATTATTAGGGTGGTTGAATTAATGATACAACTTCAGTCAGACGAGGATCATCAATCATGCCCAGGAGAAAGTACCTCTGAAATCAAACCGATTCCTGTGTTTCAGGTCATGACCTCCCTGCTACAGGCAAAGTGTAACTCAGTAAAATGTGCCGCATTGTGTAGATGGGGTACGTTGTACGGTGGCACATCTATGAGAAGGTAAACTGTGGTTTCAAGCTTCTGCTGCCGTACGTCATACCCGGGTCCAAGAGTCAACCCTGAGGTAAAATCTGCATTTGGGGTCCTTGAGGAGATCCATTGTTGCAACGTTCCCGTATATATATATATATATATATATATATATATCATATGTTATCTAAAAATATGATTCAACGCTACATAAGAGTTCTCATGTTTCAAAACAAGAGCCGAAAACTTCAATATAATTATTTGAATTAAATTGAATTAAAGTACCAAGCTAATTTAATTCAATTTAATTCAAATAATTATATTGAAGTTTTTGGCCCTTGTTTTGAAACATGAGAACTCTTATGTAGCGATGGAATCATATTTTAAAGAAATAATTATATTTATGCTCTACTTTTGTATCGAGCACTATTTTTTAAAATAATAACAAAAATACTAAAGAACTGGATTATTTACCTAACAAGTTCTTTCCTATTTTCTATATATTTTACACACACACACACACACACACACACACACACACACACACATATATATATATATATATATATATATATATATATATATATATATATATATATATATATATATATATATATATATATATATATATATATATATATATATATATAAAAAAAGAACAGTAAAATATATAATCCGGTGTTCTTATAGATATTTTTTCATACATGAGAAACTACATATTACTAAGGTTATAAAAAATAAAAGTTTACTAAATCAGAGAAATGAATGAGATATTTTTTGCCGTCATTATCATAAATTTTACTTAAATAACATTTAAATATAAAATTTATAAAAAAAAATGTGACCTGGTAATATACATACTTATACTTGATATGAAAAATAATTCTACGTACTGTAAGTAATTCTAATACAATTACTTGTTTTAAAAAGAAATATAGTCTATTAAAAATTAAAAGTGAAAATATTTTAAAATATTTAAAAATTAAAAGTGAAAATATTTTAAATAAAACGTATTCTAACTTAAACATCCCCCAAAAATCTTTAAGTATACAAATAGAAAAAAATGCCGTAAGAATCTTTGCCGTTTACAATAAATGACGACATGCATTTAACGGATGTCAGAATTCGTTGAAAAATACATCCCTACCCCTACCTAAACATAATCCCTTTTTCAAACGTAACTAATAACTGATACAACAAAAGTTAATAAAATGAACACGCAACCATCCCTTGTCTGGATGAATGGATTTCTCTGTATCCTTGGAAACTGTAAATTATGATTTTTGTCGTGCCTTTAAAACCCAGTAAATTAAAAAATAAGTTACTTCAAAATTCGCTTGAGGATGAAATGGAACTAATGTCTTTAATTTAATTACAAAATTAAATTCGAAGCTTTTAGCTTCCATTTTTGAAACATGGTTAGAACTGTGTAGCGAAAAAACATTTAAAATCAGTAAATATATATATTAACTGATTTAAAATATGGATATATATATATATAACCACATTTTAAATCAGTTAATATATATATATATATATATATATTAACTATATATATTAACTGATTTAAAATGGTGTCAATTAAATATATATATATATATATATATATATATATATATATATATATATATATATATATATATATATATGGAAGCATGGTGGGGGTAATGACTAGCGGCTTGGATTGAGGAATCGGAGAGGCAAGTTCGAATTCCAATCAAGTCCATTACATTCTAATACTCTTGGGGAAGGTATGAATCCCTTTTCTCCCTCCAGCTATGGGTAAATATGCAGGACAGACTGGGTTCTATAGCCTTGGATAGCAACTGGACTAGGAGAAGGACAACTCTGAATTCAAAACCCGACGGAGGCTCACTTGGGGACCTTGTGGCACGTAGTGCACCAAGTCTCTGTATTCGTCTCACAAAAAAGTGTGAATGGTCCTGCACGAAACCTTCACCACTATAATCAAATCTCATGTTCTGTTGTCGGGCCGTCGGGTCCTAGGAACTGATCTGCTTGACCCTCTTACGTCTAATTCGACGGGATAGTCAAGGATATATATATATATATATATATATATATATATACTAGTTAGGTTAGACAGGTAGATATATGTCTAGGTATAGTCCAGAATAAAAAAAGGTTCACATAAATCCGCCTTACATTACAGTCAAAACGGTAGTCATAGTTCCAGTTTATACCTTTTTGTTTGTAGGTATCCACCCGGAAGGTGTACCCTTTAAGCAAGGAGTGGAAGGATGTAGTCGTTGTATTCTAAGCGTAGCCGACTCTACAAAAGTATCTAATGTCGGGACAAATAAAAACGAAAAAAAGATATCAAA